GCATGATTTGTTTTATTAAATAAAAAGTTATAATATAAATTTTTAAAATTAAATATACAATTTTGTACAGATTTTTCGCATATATATAAATAGAGTTATAAAGTAATTATAATAATTACAATTATACTTGTAGTTAAATAAATTCATCATTCGACTTTTATAAATTTTTATAATTTTCGAAACGTAATTATTTTTATTATACTATTTGATGCAATGTATTTTTTAAAAATTTGATTTAAATTAGGTTAGATTTAGATTAGATTGCTGTAAATAATTGTAATATTTGAGATATTATGAGATATATATTATTCAAAAATATTATAATTACACAATTTTAATTAAAGAATTAAAAATAAAAATGAAATAATAAGGAATAATTATTAATTTAATAAATAATTATATTCCTAAGAAAAAATAATGACTAATTAAATTATAAAAAAATTATTTTTCTTTTTAATACTTTTCTAATGAATATCAAAACTAAATTTTCCAATTTGTAATCTGTTAAATACTCACTTATCCAGTAAACATATGTATGTAATTATGGTGCGAAATTACGAACTGCATTCAGTCAAATCACTTTTCTAATTAATTGCCGACATGACGACAATGAAGAAAACAGAACTTTGAGCAACGTCGTTCCACCATGTCGCGAATTCGATAGTAACTTTCTCGTCGTGACGTTGTCGTAATGTCCTAGATACGAAGACTTCGTGAATCTTATTTACAAATTGAAGGCGGCTTATAGAATCGCCTTAAAACTTCACCGCGATAAATTAATTAAGACGATGAAACTCATGAAACGATGCATCTTTGATTTTTCTTTATATTCATTGACTATATTATATAAATTGATTTACCAGTTAAAATTGAAATTAATTAGATAATTGAAATTGATAATTTTGGATTTTTATCATTAAATATATTTCTTGTATTAAATATTTTATGAGAAAATAGGAATATTGATTTCAAGAATATGTAATGAATTTACATCTTTTAAATTATTTTTCAACTTCAAATTTATCATTAATAAATTTTGCAAATTTAATAATAATATCGTAATAATAAAATCATAAAATGTTTTTAATTTTAAATATATTAAATATATTAAATATTAATGATTAATGTTATTTGATATATAATTTTAATTTTAATCCTATTATGTAATAAAACAAGATCAAGAATAAGATCAAGAATATATAAAAAACCATTCATTTCGAAGAGATTAAGATTGATAAACAAGATTGATCGTAGCAAGATTGATAACATTTAAAATCGATAAATCGATAATTTTTCATATAGTACTCGATAAAATCATATAGTATATTAAATATTTTTATAACACATTCTTTCATCATATTTTTTTTAAATATGTATCATAATAATTATCATAAGACATAAAAATATTATAGTAAATATAATTTATTATCAAAATAAAAATTTTGTAAAATATTAATATTTTTTAATTAATTAATTTCTAAAAATTAAATAAAAAATTGAAGTTCTTGGTTTTTAACAATTAAAATTACAAAATAATTGAATATAATTTCTAATAAATACAGGGAAATAAAAAAGTATTTAATCAGTTTCAATCAAAAAAGTTTAATGCTTAAAAAATATATTATATGTATTATATTATGAATTGCAAAATATTTTTATTTTTATAATAATATAATATAATATATAACATTACATTTATATATAATATTAAAATAATGATTTATGGTATAATTTTGAAGAATTTTAAAAGTTAAAATAAATGTAAAAGTTGATATCCAAAAATTTCTATTAGATTTATTTAATTATATATAAATAATTGAAGTTTACATTAGATAAAGTAAAAGAAAAAAGAGATGGAAAATAAATGAGACAATTTCGTCTCTATTATACTACATCGTACTTGTTTCTCACTTCATCAATGCTTATTAAATTTTTATAATTTAATAAATAAATTAACTGACATGCTTATATTTTAACTTTTATATTTATTTTTAATCTTTAAAATCAGTCCTTCCAGTAGCTTGTATATATGTTAAACTTGAAATATCTCTGATAACATAAACAATATTTATAAAACATTTCTTGATAATATCAATTAAATAAACAGCACAAAAGTATTTTTACAACCAATAATATTTTTTCATATATATAATATTTTTCATTTTTCATAAACATTTATTAACTTGAAAAAATAATTTCAATTAAATTTTTGTATTTTTTCCTATACTGTTTTAAATTTCAAAAATTTTTTGTCTTTAATACTTCTTTGAAATTAATATTATATTTATTAAACTATTTGCCAACTTTTTTTATCCTTTTTTCTATAAGATCGATGGGATTGATATATTTTGTGAGAATCTTTCTAAATATATGATACATTATACGATCTATTCTTTAACAATGTATACATTTTTGGAATATTCTTTTGAAAATGAAAATTTTGTTATACATTGCTGTAAATTATCTTTGAATATTTATAAATATTTATATTTATTTAATATTCTATAAATAACAACGAAGTTTCTAACAATATTATATTCTTATCAATCTTTATCTTCTTATCAATTCTTATCAATCCATGCTTTACGATTATGTATTTTTGAGATATATTTTTTTATTTGCTTTTCTTCAAATTTTATATATAAATAATTATACATTTTATATAATATAATAAGAGAATATATAATAATATCCATCTAATCTAAATATATCAAGTTTGTTTTTATTCAATAAAAATAATGCAAAAATCTTCATATTTGTTAACATTTTTCTTTTTTAACGAAATTTAATTTCTTCTGTTTGCTGGTTTTGCTAATAAATGATTTTTTTCTTGAAATACGACCATGAAAATTATTTTCATGGAAAATTCTTCGACAAAGTTTAGAATAACTTGTTTTCTAAAGCGATTAGTGTCTAATGTAGCAAGTTTTGAAGTAGAAATTAAGTCATTTTTTATTTCACGTATAATTACACTTTTTCTTTGTTAATTTCTTCAGGTTATTAAACTAAATTACATTTTGAAAAACTTTAATAGTTTTGAACTTTTTTATTATCTAAATAGTAGATTTAATATTTCTTTCTAACAATTGCTAATTTTATATTGTCCTTGTTATATTAATTATTAATTTTTTATCGATGACATTTCCTTATAATTTTTTAGACAATTATTAGACATTAATGATATAAAATTTATAATATATTCTATAGATACATACATATAATTTAAAACATACATAAATAATAAAATAATAAAATAATAAAATATAATAGAGTAAACTGCATAATGAACTACAATATATTACATAAGCTATAAATGAACAATAATTTAATATACTACAAAGAAAGAAAGAAAGAAAGAAAGAAAGAAAGAAAACTAATTTTAAATTAAATTCTAATGAAAAATATACAATTCTTTGATGATGATGATACATGAATCGCAATTCATATATAAATTGTTCAGAATGTTTTTTCGCACGAGCATTTTCGCTAGTTGATTCTTTATTCAATCAACTTCATTCTCTATTATTATTATATATTTTGAGAGTTGGCATTTTTTATAAGATTATTGGCATGATTTATTTATAAGAAAAATTCGTTTGATTCGTGTTTGATTGTATTTTTTCGTGTAATAAC